ATAGTTGCACATCCTTCTAGTTGCTGTATGTGGGACGCGGCCTCAGCATGGCCAGAGAAGTGGTGTGTTGGTGCGTGCCCAGGATCCAAACCCAGGCTGCCAGTAGCGGAGCGCGTGCACTTAACCACTAAGCCACGGGGCCGGCCCTAGCTTTGGTTTTAATTTACTTTTCGTTTTCCAGTTTCTTAAATTGGAAGCTTAGATTTTTATTTCAAGGTTTTTTAAAAATATAAGGATCTAAAGCCATAAATTTCCCTCTAAGTACTGTTTTATCTGTGTTCACAAATGTTTAATTAATTTAAAATATTTTCTAAATACCCTGGTGATTTTGTCTTTTATCGATGGGTTATTTAGAAATATGTGGTTTAATTCCCAAATATTTGGAGAGTTTCCAGATATCATTTTATTATTGATTTCTAGTTTAATCCTCTTATGGTCAGAGAATGTAAATTGTATGATTTCTTTTCTTTTAAATTTGTTGAGGTTTGTTTTTTGACCCAGAATGTGGTCTATCTTGATGAATGTTCCAGGTACACTTGAAAAGAATACGTATTCTGCTGTTGTTGGGTGAAATTTTATAAGTATCAGTTAGATCACATTGTTGATGGTGTTGGTCAGGTCTCCTGTATCTTTATTGACTTTCTATCTATTTGTCTTATTAACTACTGAGGAAAGAGTGTTGAAATCTCCAAGTATAATTTTGGATTTGTCTGTTTCTCCTTTCGGTTCTATCAATTTCTGTTTTATGTTTTTAAAAATTCTGTTTTGGGAAGGGTGTCATTTAGGATTATTATATCTTCCTGATGAACTGGCCCCTTTATCATCATGTAATGTTCCTCTTTATTCCAGATATATTCCTTGTTCTGAAGTCCACTTTATCTGGTAAGATGTGACTTTCTTCCAATTTTCTCCTTCTCAGGGAATGTCATCACCATCCAAACTGAGTTGTCATCCTTGACACCTCACACCCTCCACCACCGTATCAACCCGTAATCAAATCCTGTCCATTTTACCTCCTAAATGGCTCTTGGATCTTTTGACAATTCTCTAACTCTACAATCATCAACCTAGTCCAAGTTATCAATGTCTTATGTCTTGCTTGGCCTACTCTATTAGTTTACTAACTGGTATCCTTGAATCCACTCTGGCCTAATCTGCTCTGCACACTGCAGGCAGACAGGATTTAAAAAAAAAACTGCAGACAAACAAAGTCATCCCTCTAAATCTAATTAGACCTTATTAGGTCCTACTATTCATAAGGTAAGGACCCAAAAGCTTGAGGTGGCTGAGAAGGCCCTGCATAGTCCGGCCCTCCCTCCCTCTCCAGTCTCCTCCCTACCAATCTTTTCTCCCTCTTAATATGGCTACACTGGCCTTCTTTCTGTTTGTGGAACATGTCATACTACTACTGACCCAGGGCCTTTGCACATGCATTTCCCTATATCATCCAGATCATTCTCTTCCCTTTACTGCAGCCTTTTCTGTTAACTTACTCATCCTTCATATCTCAGTTCAAGTATTGCTTCCTCAGGAAGTTTCCCTAACTCCCTCAAAATTAGGTCAGATTCATTTGTAATATACTTTCCTAGGATCATGTTTCTTTCATTACATAATTTATAGCAGTTTATATTTACATCTTTATTGGTGTGATTATTAGGTTACTATCTTTCTCTTCAACTAGATTGTAAGCTCCAGGGGCCATGTCTACTTTGCTCACCATTGTGTTCTTAGTGCTTCCCCTTCTTAGGTGGTCAATAAATAGTTGTCGAATATCTGGGGAACCAATGGGTAGCAGAGAAAAGGAAGAGCAGAAGATGAAGTGGGAAAGGTTGGTGAGGGCCAAGTCAAGAAGGGCCATGTAGGCCGTGAAGGGTTTGTGCTTCCCTGGTTCTCAACTTTATTTTGCACCAGATACCCTGGGGAACGTGTTAAGAATGCATGTGTCCAATAATTCTGGCCAATGTTTATGCTTTACTATGTTGATGTATTTACATTTTTATGCTTTACATTTTTATGCATTAATGTTAAAGTATGCAACTCTACAACATAATCAAGGCACTACCTAGCATTTCGTGGCAATATATTCTAGTGGAAAGCAAACCATCCAGAATAAACGAGACAACTTTAAAAAAAAAAAAAAAAAGAATGCATGTGTCCAGGTACCACCCCGCACCTGAAGAATAATACTCTTTGGGGTTGGGGTCTGGGGCTCTGTTTATAACAAGTTCCCTAGGGAAGCACCAAAGACTGAGGGCTACTGTTTCAGGATCTGGGGAGACACTGAACCTTGAAGCAGGGAAGTGTCATGATCAAAATTGCATTTTGGAAAGGCCGTTTTAGCTGGATGTCTTGGAAAGATATGAAGGGACAAGATTGGAGACTATTGCAATCAGCTAGGCAAGTGATGATGAATGCCCAACTAAGGGGGAATTAGTGGAAATACAGGGAAGAAAATAGATTCAAGGCAATTTAGAAGTTAGAGTTGGCAGATCTTGGCACCTAATTGAATATAAGGGGGAAGAAGAAGTAAGAATAGCAACAACAATAAATAACAGTTATTGAGCACCTATGATGTGCCAGGCACGAGTCTACATGCTTTACACATATTGTGTTCTTTAGTCTCATGACAGCCATGTGAGGCAGGTTATAGTACCATCCCAGGGACTTCAGGTGACTCCCAGGTTTCTTGCTTTGGAGGCAGCGATGTGTCCACCAGACAGGGGTTACGAGAGGAAGTGAGGCCAGGAGGGTGGTATTAGATAATGACTCCAGTTTGGAACCTACTGACGTTGAGACTTGGGTGGTATCTAGGCAGTGATTCGAAACCCAAGTCTGTAGCTCTCCTGAGAGTCTGAAGATGTCGGTCCAGGAGCCATCATCCCTGGGAGTGGATGGGATTGGCCGGGAGAGGCTGAGGCACAATCCTGGGGATCCTAACATTCAAGGCTAAGGCTCTTAATCTGCCCTCTGCAGATGGGTTTCCCGAGTACATGAGCCCCTTGAGTTCTAGGGAAGATGCTGGCAATCTGTGATTGTGCCTTAGAATCTCAAAGGGATGCGTGGCCCACCAAAAAATTAAGGATTACAGATACAAGTGGTGGGTAGATAAAGAGGATTCAGGAATGAAGACTGGAAAGGAGTGGCTGGAGAGATAGTAAGAAATTCAGAAGGAGATGTCAGGAGGCCAACGAAATGGTCTTTCAAGAAAGAGGGAGTGGTCAGTGGTGTCCAGTCCAATATTGCAGGGCGGTCAGATAAGAGACAGCTTGAAAAGAATTGACCAAATTTGGCTATTGGTTGATCACGGGTGGTTTGAATCATTTCCATGGATAGTGGCTGCGGTAGGTAGGATGAGGTGAGACTTGAGGATGAATAGACCTCTTCAGTTGGGAGGAGGACAGAGAGCGGTCAAGGGTCAAGGATGATTTCCCTCCCTCCCTCCTTTCCCTTTTTTTTTTTTTTTAAGGAGGAAGGGACTTGCACATGGATACAGGTAGAAGGGAAAAATCCCTCCCAGGGGGAAGCAGCACCAGAGAGAAGCCCTTTGATGGAGCAATGTTCCGAGTAGATGGAGTTCATAGCACAAGTGGAAGGCCTGGCCCTGAGCACAGGGAGTGTCACCTCCATCTCCAAGAAAGAGGTAAGGGTGGGAATGGATATAGAAAACAGGTGAGGGAGGCATTGTGAGGATAGTGGTGGCAGCCATGGGGGCACCATAATTCTGGTGACTAGCAGAGGGGAAGTGACTGTCACACCAGGTAAGGAGACACCCTCTTCTGCTCTGAACCCTTCACTGTCTTTTCCTTAGCCTGGAACACCCTCCTCCTTAAATTCTGCCTTGTCCTCCTCCGGGAAGCTTTCCTTGACTGACACGTCCACTTTGCCCCTTTCTAGCAACTGGCTCAGCTTCCCATTTCTTCTTTGCCTCAGCACAGAGGCCAAGAGCTCCCTCTGGTTCCCTCTGTCTGTCTGTCTCTGGCCTCTGGGTAGAAAGCTCATGGAAGGGGGTGGGGAGAGGATGCGAACACATGTGTATCTGTAAAATGGGTGGCCTTTCCATTAGGACTGCCCCTCCCTGGCTCTCAAGACAGGCTTTGCCCGCAAGAGGGTGCTCGGCCAGAGAAGGCCTGGCTAGCGTGGTTTGGGCAGCCAGCCCAATTGGCAGACTGGGAGCAGGGCCCTGGCTGGGACCTTTGCTCCCTGTCCTGATGGCCCTGGCCTCTGTTGTCATGGTTGCCCCTTAGCCTGGGATAAACAGAACTCTTCCCCGTCCTGCCCAGCTTACTGTCACCTAAGTGTATCCCGAGGGAGTGGCTGGAATTTAAAGTGTCCAGGTCCCCCCCCACGACCCCTGGAGGCACAAGGATGTTGAGTCACTGAATTTAGGCCACGTTCCACGTTCCACTCCCTCGCTGGCCCTGCTGCTCCCTCCTCCCCCACCTATGTCCTCCTGGACTTGGGGAGGGATAGAGAAAGAGCTGGGACTCACTTGGTCTGTTACCCTGGGTGGTGGGGTGTAGGGAGGGGTCTTTCTGTCCTGGATTACCCCCTTTAGGCTATTTCCAGTCTGTGGAGACCCTCCTGAGGCCCAGGTCCAATCCCTGGTGTTAATGAGAACAATCACATCTTCTTTGCTCCCTTATATTCTAGATCCTGGGGGCCCAGGGTGAGGGAGAGAAGACAGGAAAAGTAAAGATGGGGGAGAGGAAATATGGATCAGAGTGGAGAAGGGGACTCATCTGGATAGAAGTGACTCATGGAATCATTCATTCCTTCATTCATTCCGTGAATCAAACAAGTTCCTGTGCTGGGTGCTGAGGGAGAGAGAAACGCATGTAAGACATGACCCTGCTTCGAGAGATGTGCCTCAGTGCTGGTGTGAGGGCCCTGGACTTGGAATTCGGGGACCCTTGTTTGAGCCCCGACTACCACTTGCTGGACAAGTTACTTCTCTGAGCGTTGGGTTCCTCATCTGTAAGTGAAGATAGAGATATGAACCCCCTAGGTCATTGTGAGGATCGGATGAGACCGAGATGGAAGACTGCCTCACTAGCCCATGTTCAATGCATGTTAGATGCCTGTGGCTCAGCTTTACAATCAGGGAGAGGTGCTCAGGTGGGTGTAACCCAGCCCAGGGGTGTAACAAAGGCCGTTCTTGGGGTCTCTGTGGGAGCGGCCACTTCCGGCCGCAGTGACTGGGGCAGGCTGCGTGGGTGGGTGCCTGGTGCAAGATTTTCATTCAGTAAATGTTTGCAGAATGAATGGGGTGTGCTAGAGCCAGGGCTGGCAGGGAGAGTAAAGTTTCAGCAGGTGCGGGTGACAGGGAGGTGCCGGGAGGGAAGGGCACATCCCTGGGGCTGGGGCGGGGAGGCAGCGAGTGCCAGGTGGGGAAGGCTCAGCTCAGTTGCCAGATGAGGGGTTTGACCTTTATTCTGAAGGCAATGCGAAGCTCCGAGCTGGGGAGTGACAGGATCAAGATGGTGTTTGTAGATCAATCTGGCTGGGCACCAGCCGAGGACATTCTGGAGTAAAGCGTGTAGGGGAGGTGGAGGGAGACAGGGACGGAGGGGCAGAGGGGGAGTGTGTACGTGTCCAGGAGCCTCAGGGCAAGCGATGAAGTCACCCCTCCCTCCACTCTGCCAAGGGGAGGGGGGCCTTCACACAGCACGTCTCCAGGGCTGTCTTACCTGCCTGCAAGAGGTGGGAGGGAACATCACAGGGAGGGGGAGAATTTCTCAGGGACATGGAGAACAAGAGAACACCGCCTCCTTTCTCCTCCTCGCTCCAGGGCCCAGGGCCCAGCTCAGAGTAGTAGAGTGGGCGGGGGGAGGAGGACAGGGCAGGAACTAGGACCCCAGTCCCTGGGTTTTCCGGTCCTGCTCCTGGCCTCTAAGAGAGAGGATGAGTTAACTGTAGTTTTTAAATCTAGAGAAGTAGTTAATGGTGGCAGAAAGTGCAAGAGGCCCTTAGGCCCCAGGAGGACCTGTGCGTGAACCCTAGAGCACAGTACCGGAGGGCTAATTGAGATGACTGTGTTGTCCAGCCTAGGACGTAGCTTTCCTGGAGGGAACTTTCTGGCCTGGAGGTGGCTGGTAGGAATGTGAGATGTTTAGCTCTTGTTGGGACCGGTAATCCCGATCGTCTATTGTCCACATTTGCTCCCATCTCATTTCCGATGGACCCCACACCCTGGGGTGACTCAGGTATGCTGCCCAGGCCCACAACCCCCGCAACCCCCAGCCCTGACTCAGCCTGAGCTCCTGGGAACTCAGAAATAGCCATCCTAGCGCTCCTCCTCCTCCGGAGGTGGGGAGATAAGGTTTATGGCCCCAGACAGGCTCATTCTCCGTGAGGGGGTCAGTTGTGCAAACACACTGCATTCCTCCCGGACTCTGCCTCACTCAGTCTTTTCCAGGAATCGCAGACCGTCTGAGAGCACCCTTTTCAGAAACCTGCTCAGCACCTCCTCCCCCGGAGGTTATCTCCTCGGGTCGGGCCTTGCTCTGTGCTCGCCCCATTGAGGCCTGCCCCTCCCGTGCTTCTCTCTTTCTTGGCTCCTGGGAGGTCCTGACCCAATCTAGCTCTGAGTGAGAAGAGATCCAGCACAGCTCCTTTTCCAAAGGAGCATCCTCCCTTCTCTAGTCACTCATTTTTTTTTTTTTTTTAAAGATTTTTATTTATTCAGTTTTTCCCCCCAAAGCCCCAGTAGATAGTTGTACGTCATAGGTTCACATCCTTCCAGTTGCTCTACGTGGGACTCGGCCTCGCGTTGGACGGAGAAGCGGCGCCTCGGGGCGCTCCCGGGATCCGAACCCGGGCCGCCAGCATCAGAGCGCGCGCACCTAACCGCCAAGCCACGGGGCCGGCCCTAGTCACTCATTTCTACTCCTTGGATTAGCCAGTCCCTCCTTCAGTCTATCCTTTTGCTCCCTTTCAATGCGTAGTTAGGGAGACGATGCTGTTATGTTCACTGGCTGTTACTGCAGTGGGAGGGAGCTAAGGGAGACCCTAGTTGAGGGTGTGCTTCATCACAGGGCCCCTGTAACTGAGGGGAGGAAGATGAAAGAGAGGAAAATGAATCTTTGGAGAAGAGTTTGTAGTTTTTTCCCATCATAGTAGGAGTCCCATACAGGGACTTTACAGGGGGCAAAGAAAGTCTCTTACTAACATTATCATCGCGTAATTTATTTTATGTACGAGAGAACAAAAGCTGAGAGCCCAAATCAAGGGTAACTTCAAGTTTAATGCTTTCTTCACTACATTGCAATCACTTTTCAAAGTTCTAAATTCAAAAAGTTCTAAAGACCAAATTAATTTAAATGTCGTTAATAATAAAACATAATTTCAAGGAGTTTTAGAAATAAATGGTACTGCTCCTTTATTATACAGATGAGACAGCTGTAGCTCAGAGAGGTGAAGTGACTTGTCCAGTGTCACACAGCAATTTAGAGACTGAGTGGAGATTAGAACACAGATTATTTGATTCCCAAATTTTTTTCCTGCTGCTCCACCTTGTTCCAGGAATTATTTAATCAGTTCTCAAAGTGAAAATTAATTTTCACTTCATTTCATTTTTATCGCAACTCCCAGAACACTTCAGAGGTTGTGGTAGGAATTTGCAGAAGTGAAAGGACTTGAGGGTGTGCCGGCTCTCAGGATGAGTGCCAAGGGTGGAGAGCTGGGAGGTCAGCTCCCGAGCCAGCCAGCGCTCAGCTGTCCTGAAATTCCCGGGTCTCCCTAGGTCAGCAGGCATCTTCTGCAGGACTTCTGGAAGCATCTTCCTTTATCAGAGGTGCTGGCGGATGAGAGCCAAGGCTTTCTTGCTGGCCTGGAGACTCCGCATTCCTGTCTCGGGCACCTCTTGGGCTGTCTCTGGCTAGACCTGGAGGACGGGGAAAACTGCAGTTGGGTTTGGAGTTGGAAGAGCTGGGTTGAATTCTGATCCAGGCACTTATGTGCAGTGTGACCTTAGGAAATGTATTGAAACTTTCTGAGCTTCCGCATCCTAATCTGTAAAATGAGGCCATTTTTACTTTCCTCTTAGGTTTAATTGCGAGGATTAAATTGGGTTATAAAAAGTCTATGGCACAGGGAGTGCCCGGCGTAGGGTACCATCTTGGGAGGGTAGGGAGAGAGGGAGGTGTGAGGCAGCGAGGCACGGCTCTGGAGCAGACAGGGGCCAGTTCTGTTTCTCCCATTTGCTACTGCTTGAGCGCAAGCTATTCTTAACCTTGAGGCTGTCTCCTCAGCTCTAAAATGGAGACCATGCTTGTTTCATAGTTTCTGTAAGGATTAAAAGTTGTCATTACCACCTTAAGGGAACTCCTAGGCCTGGGCCCATGCCCAACTCTGGGAGACCAAGTCAGAGCTGGGGATGCTCCATCAGAGCAGGCTGGAGGGCTCGGGGGAGAATCCTGGGAAGGAAGGTCTGGGAGGGCTTCCTGAAGGAGGTGTTTGAAGTGGAGCCAGCCTGGAGGGACAGAGAGAGGAGAAAGGCCACTGGTCTGGTGAACTGCATAGCAGAGAGAGAGTTTGTGTAGGAGCCGGTTACCAAGTGGAACAGGGTCAGACCATGAATGAGGAAGGGCAGCTGGGGGTAGAGAGTTAGTGTGGCTGGACACAGGAGCCACGGGAGCCATGGGGTCTGTGGGTCTAGGAGGAGGCCCGGGGAGTTTGACTTCTGTAGCTGGACACCTCTGAGCCAGCACTGGTCTGGGAGGCAAATGGCTCTCTCCCTGGGTGGGGCTTTCTCTTCTCTACCTCCCCTTTTCTGGCAGCTGCTTCTGCTGCTCAGGCTTCTCTTAGTTTCTCTGGGTTGATCACCCGGGAAACCTGGGGAGGCAAGGAAGGAGGCAGTGAGGCCTTGGGGGATAGACGGGCTCAGCCTGGAATTCTGTTGGGAGCACAGAGACACACACTGAGTTGTGTTGCTATGGGAGCTTGCCCAACACTTCCCAGAGGCAGAACTGGCCCTGGCTGGCCCCGGCCCAGCCCATTTTCACCTTCCAGGTCGGTAGACTTGCTGTAAGACCTACGAACGGGTCACCCTGTCCCGCTTAGGGGCTATCTCAGCCCCTAGAGACGAAGGAGTCCGGGAGGTGGGCTGGTTATCGGGTGATCGGTAGCAGGGCTTTCCTAACCTGAGCTGCTCTCCCTTCTCCCTCTTATTTTCCCTCTTATATACACACACGCACGCGTGTGTGTGCACACACACGATGGCGCAGGCTGAGTCAATCATTTGTGAATTCGGTCATCATACATTGGTGGAATGCCTACCAGGCACCTCCTAATGCTGTAGATATGGTGGTTAACAAGACAGCCAAAGTCCCTGTCCTCATGGAACTTTACTTTTGGTGGAGAGAGGTCCCCTAAGTCTGCCCGAATCCGTAAGATAGGAGAGGTAACTTAGATGTTCAACAAATATTAACTGAACGAATGTAATATATATTTTATGGATTGCTAAATAAAATGAGAACACTGTTTTTGGGTCATTTCTTCTGGGTTATCCAAATGACCGCTCCCCCTGATGGAGATAACTGGACGCTGACTCTGTAAGAGAACCTCACTGGAGGAAGAGCTTGCTCAGGCTTTGGACTGACCCCAGACTGAGGTCAAGTCTTGAAGGACTTTTAGTTTCCTTATCTGTAAAATGGGAGTAATGTTACCTTCCTTGTGGATTATTTTAGGATTATGAATAATCTGTGTAAGAGATCTGACACTTTGACATTTAGTGGGAACCCAACACATGAGAGCTGCCATCATTGTCACCATCTTTCCCACCATCACCGCCACTGCCGCCATCATGGTGGGCACGGAAAGGAGGCCTGGGTGGAGAGCTGGGGAAAGGAAGGGATATCAATAGGCAGGGCTCAGTTTGCATGGCTGGCTCCCCAGCAATTGGATATGCAAGCTTCTGTTTTGCATGGTGGCAGATTTTTGCATGTTATCCCTTTATTACTGTCTTAGAGACTTCTCCCTACGGCCCCCATTGCCACCTTGCTCTAGAAACCCTCAACCCTGCTGAGCCAGTGCTCTCTCCCACCTGAGCACCTGCCGCGTGCTGGGCATGCCCTGCAGAGGGCACAAAGATGCATGAGACACTGCTCCACCCTGCCAGGGGAACACCAGGACTTAAATTCTCACAAGACGAATGTGTCAAAGCTGTGCGAACACAAGTTCCATGGAGGGTGGTCTTGAAGATGATGAAGCGGGGCGGAAGGCTGCATGGAGGAAGGCTTCAGGAAAGGCAGGGGAACAGGCAGGGAGGGGTGGTGAGAGTCAGGCTAACATTGACTGCAGGCCTCTAACTGCTGGCACTGTTCCCTTATCTAATGTTCACATCTGTCCTCTTAGGAGGTTATTTATTTATTTTTTTCATTTTTTTTAATTTATGTATTTTTCCCCCCCAAAGCCCCAGTAGATAGTTGTACGTCATAGCTGCACATCCTTCTAGTTGCTGTATGTGGGACGCGGCCTCAGCATGGCCGGAGAAGCGGTGCGTCGGTGCACGCCCAGGATCCGAACCCGGGCCTCCAGCAGCGGAGCACGTGCACTTAACCGCTAAGCCACGGGGCCAGCCCCATCTTAGGAGGTTATTATCTGCATTTTCAGCAGAGGGAAAGGAACCTCAGAGAAATTAAGTAATTTGCCCAACTTCACACAGTTAGGAAGTGCCTCCCAAATTCTTTTGATTGCATTCACTATCCTTCGGCTTTCAGTCACACCTGGCTGCTGGGCAGAACGCGCACAAATACACTCGGGCCCACCGGTAGACGGGGTTCCGATTCCAGCCCCTCCCGTCACAGCTGTGTGCACTGGGCACTTCCCTTCCCTGCCTGGCAGGGTGTTTATGAGTTTAAATGAGGTGAAGTGTGCAGTGTACACACTAGGCCCTCAGGACATGTTTCTGAGGCTCTGACAATCCATCTGATGCTCAAGTCCCCTTGACCTTCTGCTTGAACCCTTCCTCACGCAGGGGAAGCCACAACCTCCCAATGACGCCCCAGATTCCACTTGCACCAAGCTCCGAGTTTTGGGAAGTCCTTGCTTCTCGTTCTCTGGTTCTAGTTGCATCCCTTGGGCCACACAGATGAATGTCCCCTCTTCCTCCTGGCAGTCCGTGTCTCTTCTTCTCCAGGGCTCACACTCCCAGCTCCTGCAGCTGTGTCTCCGCGGAGCGTGGTTCCCACTCCCCTCCCTATCCCAGACACCTCCTTGCATCACCTCTCATTTGTCCAGGTCCCTCCTAAGAGTAAGACAAGAGCCAAACACTGTTCTCCAGGTGTGGCACGATCAGTGGGGAGAAAATGGGCTCTCCCACACTTGTGTCTGCTGCCGAGGACCACAGAGGATTTTATGGCAGCCTCATCATGCTGTTGCTGGAGTGAAGGCGCACACGCTTCCATGCCTGTGTGATGAACAAAGGTAAGGAGGCAGTTGCATGTCCGGGGGAGGGTCTACACATTCCCTCTGCGGCATCTACTCTAGGCCAGTGCCCTGCCAGGTGGAGGCTGGCACAGAGGTGGGAACCAGACAGACACTAGAGAACCCCGCCCTGTCTGCCAGGAGCTGTGGTCTGACACTGGTAGGATGAACAAGACGGCAGCTTAGGTCCAGCGGCTCATGACAAGTGTGTGCATTGGTCTGGCTGGAGCAGAAGGTGCTAGGGCTCAGCGGGAGCTACTGGAAGTACATCTTTGTAACCTTCTCGCTTCCCTTCACCTTGGACTCAGCCATGCAATCAATAACCACATCCTGTTGGTTCTTCCTTCTTGCAGTAGGTTGCCTCCACCCTGTCTTCCCACCCCACAGGCCTCCTCCCTCACGTTCTGCAATAGCTCCCTTCCTAGTCTCCTGCCTCCAGTTTTCGCCCCTACCACCTAACCTATATATCTCAGCCCACTTAATCTTCCTACAGCACCGCTTTAACGTTGTCACCTTCCTGTCCCCATACCTTCATTGGCCCCTGTGACCTACAGGATAAACTCTGTCTGGCCTTTGAAACCCTCAATCTCAGCCAACTCCTCACCACCCAGCCTTCCTGCTCTGTTCCATAGGAATCCTCTTCCTGACCAATGACTCATCACATTTCCAGATCTTTCCATCCTTTTCTAGCTTAATTCAATCAAGCCTAAACCCATTTTAAACAGCTCTTCCCTTCCTCTGAAGCCCTATAGCATATGTCTTAATCACTCATTTCTCTGAAATCAGAATTTTGTTGATAAGGTACAGAAGTTAGACTTTGGCCAAGCAATATTTTTATTTATACAAGGGCTCAGCATGCACATCGATATCTTTATACCCCTGCAACCCTCTCCATTTCCACATCCTCCTTTGTGTACATTCGGGTGAGTGTAGGTGGTGAACATCTGTTGTTTTCACCTGACCCACGTCTCTTCCTCTTGTGCCCAATTACCTTTCTGCCCCTCTTCTATAGAGCTTGGGTGGGGCTGCCCACCCCTCTCCAGAGGCCAGGCACATGATCTGGTCTGGTCAAAATTACAGTATTCTAGGGGCTGGCCCTCTGGCCTAGTGGTTAAGTTCGGTGCACTCCACTTTGGTGGCCCAGGTTCAGTTCCCGGGTGCAGACCTACATTACTTGTTGGTGGCCATGCTGTGGTGGCAACCCACATACAAAATAGAGGAATATTAGTGCATATGTTGGCTCAGGGCGAATCTTCCTCAGCAAAAAAAAAAAAAAAAAAAAAAAAATTACAGTATTCTAGTCCCTTGGCCACAGTGCTTGGTTCTGGGGTGAGTGTGTGACCTAAGTCAGCCCAATGAGAACAGCCAGTCTTGGACTGGCTGATTTGCCAGCCAGTCTTGGAACTTCAGCTGGAAGGATTGGGAAAGAGGGGCTCCTTTGGTCATCGTCTTTGCTGCCGAGAAGGAAGCTAACACACAGGAAAACAGAGTCAAGAGAAGTAGAGAAAGATGGCCCTGATGCCATCACCAAGCCTCCTATTCAGCTATGCCAAAAGCCAAATGCCCCCCTGCACTTTCCAATTGTGTGAGCAAATAAATCATCTCTTATGCTTAAGCCCATTTGAGTTGGGCCTTGGTCACTTGAGATCAAGAGTCCTGAGCAATCAAGTGTGTCTGTGTGTTTGGGTTTAGATGGTATGGCTGTGTGTGCACAGGTGCATGTGAGACGTGCATTGAAGAGTGGCATGTACATGGCTGTATGGGTGGGCGAGGTGAGGGTAGCACGTTCATGTGAGGGCCACGTGTGTGCGTGTAGGTGAACCGACAAGCTGTGAGGACACTTGTGGGCAGGGAGGCGGTGTGTGGCGGTGTGCACACGGGGGTGCGCATGTGAAGGGTTAGTTGGTTGGTCTGGCAGAGCACCCTGCTCCTGTGTACCTTGAAGGCCGGGGCTGAGCTCTGTGTTTATGTGGACCCGGGGGGAACCCAGCAGGTCCTCAGAAAATACCTGCTTATCATCATCAGCCTCGACCCTTTGGCGAAAATCCTCACTGTGTTCAGATGGAGGCCGAATTCCTTAGAATCCTTGAGAGAGACAGAGAAACATAAAACTTTTGTTGATATTGGCAGGGGTGTCAGAGATATCAGAGGCTATTTGGACCAACCCCTCATATCAGAGGAGGAAACTGAGACCCAGACAGGTATGACTCGTTGGGGCACAGCCATATTTCAGCCAGACTGGGTTGTTGCTTCCTTCTGCTCCAGCAGGTAGGGACAGGGGTGGGCAGGGCTGGCCTTGGGGTTGCTCCCTTTTGAGGAGAACCCCCACTCAGTCCTGCCTCTGCATGGGCTGTGGCTGCTTTTATGGTGGATGATTAACCTCAGGCTGGGTATTTATGGCTTCTGGCTCTGATGGGTGCCCTTGATCCCTGAGCCTCCTTTCCAGGGTGGGCTGGGCCTTAGCTGCTTGTGCTGCATTCCTTCTTGTTCCTCCCTCGGCTTCTCACTTCACCAAAACAGCTGGTTTCCCGAAACCAGAGCTTCCCAGACAGCAGGCCGGGCCACATTGGCTGTGGCCAGAGTGGGCTAGAAATCGCACAATATTTTGGGCCCATCAGCCCTCCCAGTGTCCGAATGAGGCCTGCAGCGGCCATAACCTCTGCCTGACCACATCTGGCTCCAAGCAGACCTTTTCGTTTGCCCCAGCCTGCCATACACAAATGACAATTTCATGGAGGCCGTGACCCGTAACCATTGGGAATGTTTTAAGCAGTGGCCGTATGGGCCGGTGAGGTGGGATGGGATCTGGAGACCAGGAGAACACCTCTCAGAGGACCATGACTTTTCACGACCCCACCAATGTCGCACGACTTTCTCTTCTGTAGCAGGCATGGAAGGGTCACTGCCTTTATCTATCAGGAAAGCAAGAAAGAGGCCGCCCTCTTTGCCCACGGGCCGCGAGGGGGGCTGGCT